TGGCTGCATCTCCCTGCCTCCTGACACACCCTGCCGTGCATGCCCTGCCCTGCAGCCCTGCCTCCTGCCACACCCACCCTCCCCACCCTGACCCCACCCGCCCCCCCTCCCGCCCCACCTGGTGGAACTCGGGCAGGATGCCCACCACTCGGTGCGGCTCGATGCGGTACCCCTCCGTGTCCTCCGTCCGCTTGAAAAACATCACCTGGGGGGAGAGCGGGGAGGGGGTGGTAGCAGGAGCAGGTGCGCACATGTGGGCAACAAGGTGGGCATGGAGGCGCCTAATTAAGCCAAAACGCTAGGAGGCGACAACACCTAGAGGGTGTATCGGCAACCTGTGTGACAGTCGTATCCTGAGTTGCTTTCCCTCTCCTCATGCCACCTCCACCTCCACCTCCTCATCCAACGAGTCAAACACCCCCGCACCGCCCAACCCCCCGCCCTCACGTTGTCCAGCGGGTTGCCGCCCCCGTTCGTGTAGTCGATCTTGGTCTCCGACACAATCACATGCTCCGGCCGCAGCTCCACCTCGCCTCCGCTGTAGCAGGAGGCAACCTCGGCCGCCGTGAAGCGTCTGCTCATGCTCTGTGATGGGTGGGGCAGGCGCGGCGTGCGGAGGACGGGAAGGAACAAAGCGCATTAAAGAGGGCATCAAAGGGCGGTGCGAGGATGGAAGGCAACTCCAGCCAATCATGGCTCATGGGGTACTATAGGGGGCAACATAGCCCACCTGCTCATGTCACGCTGATGGGGCACAGAGGTCAGGGGGGGCGTTGTGGTAGAAGCCATGGGGGAACGGACGCCAGATGCCAATGCGAGAAGGCAGGCAAAGGAACGAGAAAAAACGACGTTCAGGTGCACATACACGTGCAACACCACCCGTTCACATCCGCCCTATCTTACCGGCCACCGGCCATCCTCCAGCACGTCCCGCGGCACGTTGACCTGGTTGCCGAAGCGGTACAGCTCCCGGCGACGCAAGCGGCGAATGATGGCTTGCGCGTCCCGCAGACAGCGGTCCGCGCCGTTGTCCAGCTGCGCACCCAGCCGCCCGTGCAGCAGGTCGAAGTTCTCAATCGTCTGTTTGGAAGGTTAAAGGGAGGTTGTAAGGGAGCAAGAGCTGTCCTCAATAGGGGAGGGAAGACGGGTGAACCGGAGAAAAGAAAGGATGAGCAAGACGGGAGGCGAAGACAGGAAGGTGCGCTGCTAAGCTCAGTCATGCCCTATACGGCCTACGCTGGTCACAAGGCAGTCCGGCGTACGGCACCCCAGCCCCCAGCTCAGCCGTTTGGCACTGCCCGCGAAGCCCCCTCCCTTCCCCCCTCCCTCCCCAAGCAGACTCACGGTCAGCAAGGAGTCGTTTAGCTTGCAAAAGTCCTGCAATGGGAGCGGGAAGGGGAGCGGGGTGAGGAGGTGGGGGTGAGAAAAGTCGCTGTGTGGATCGGGTCACACGCAGCCGCGCCCTACACCGTCCAAATGCCGCCGGTCCACAGCTCCCTGCCGTCAGAGCCACACAAGACACAACCCAAGCAGGCATGTGCGCCACCCCCTGCCCCTGCCCCTGCCCTGCTCTACCTCCGCCCGGTGGATGTGCTGCGAGAAGCCCAGCGCCTGGTCCGCCAGCAGCAGCGCGTCAACCGCCATGAACTCCACCGCCTTGGTCTTCCTGGGGGGCAGGGAGGCGTGAGGGCGTGGGGGAGGCAGGCAAGACAGGCGTGAGGTTAAGGGTGGTATAGGAATTAGGGGTAAAGTAGAGGTTAATGAATGGGCGTACAAGTCACAGCCAAACACAAAGGACAAGGAGCAGCAACATGGCGCTGGGCCAAGGGTCATGGCTAGGGAGCGAGCCAGGTTGCGCCGTATGTCGTACCGGTGCGTGTAGACCTTGCGGTGCATGGACTCGCGCGCGTGGAAGAGGTCCCACAGGTTCGAGTACTCGGACCACTTGTAGCAAATCTGGTTGTCAATGACCTGCGCGGCAGGGAGGCATTCCAACAATGATAACGAAGCGGGAAAGACGAGGAGGATGACACGAGGAGGACACTGCCCGATAACGGTACCTAAACGGCAGTAGGCATGGCGGAACTGCACCCTGCATGGAGCGCACCTACTCACACCCTGTCAAGCAGCCGCAGCCGCAGCCCAGCAGCAGTAACAAGCAGCAGCCGCCCGCAGGCTGTTAGCTCAGTTGGCCCACCTTGGTGAGTGTGAGCAGGCGCTTGAAGTCGCAGCCAATGTTCACGTCGCACATGAGCGCGTCCCGCTGCAGGTAGTCCACCTTGTCCACGTCAACACTGGGGGGCGGGGAGTAGGGAGTAGGGAGAGGGTGTGAGGTGAGATGCATGGAAGAGGTCAGGATGGGGCGTGGAAGAGGCTAGGATGGGATGGAGGGCGAAAAGGGAGGGCAGGTAAGAAGGGAAGGAGAACCAGGCGGAAGCGGCGAGTGGGGTTGCAACCCAACCCCATGCAAGGCCAAAGCAGTATCTGGGGGCCCACGTCAGCACCCGGGGGCACGCCCCGATGTGACCCACCCGCATCGCTTGTTGTTGACAATGTCGAACAGGAAGCCCTGGTCCTCATGCACGTCCCCCCGAATGAGGTCTGCGATGCGGTTGATGTGCTGCCTGTTGCATGGGGGGTGAGAACCATCCACGGGTCGGTTGATGCCATTAGGGCGTACGGCAAGTCAATAACAAGAAACATTGCATGGAGGTAAGGAGCGGGAAGAGACTCTGGGATTGTGCTAACGACGCAGGTCAGCCACGTTAGACATGCATGCATGCATGTCAAGCGCTGTGACCCCCGCTGATCATTTCACGAGCGGGCCCAGCTCCCGGCCTTGTACGGCAAACAGCACCGTGTGCCGCCCTGTCGTACCTCTCGATGCCCTCGATGTTGTTGGCGTCGATCAGGTGCTCCAGGATCTTGATAGACATGTTCTCATGGTGCCTGGTGCCGTACAACGACAAAGACGGGCAGAAATCAGGCAGCGAGCAATGCGCCATGGGAAGCAGCATAAAGCACCACGTGTAAAGCATGTACACTTGTGGTGCTATGATGAAACTAACCGTCAACTATTTGCCGCCAAGCCCTAGGCTCCGAAACCCACCAGTCCTTGAACTCCTTGTAGCCGTCGCTGCCCTCCACCTCCCCAAGCAGCTTCCGCCGCAGGAACTCGTACTCAAAGACGTGCGAGAAGGGTCCGTGCCCCAAGTCATGGCAGAGGCCTGGGGAAGCAGCGCATGAGGGCCGCCGGGGCGGGCGTTCGTTAGCGTCCCAGCGGGAAAAAGGAGATGGCTGGCCCGGGAAGCTGAAGCGTGAAGTGCCTGACCCAGGTTGTGACGGAGCCGCAGCAAACGAGGAAGCTGGCAAGGTGATGGTCGTGACCCAGATGGCGACAGAGAGGCTTTGGTGCACAGCTCAGCCGTACCATGTACACGCAGGGATTGTACATCATGTCGGGGTACGCCTTGTCACAACCCCGCCACGTGGTGGCTCCTCCCCCCGCACCTGCCAGCGAGGCCAGCCATATGTCGTCCTTGTGCATGCCCAGCTCCTGCCCCTGCGTACGGTAGATGCGCTCCGCCACCTCAAATGCCTGCGCGGCGTGGAGCGGGGGTAAGAGGAGTTGAAGGAGCGGCTAAGTTGGGAAGTTTACTGGCAGGCGGACAGGCGGACCGGCAAGGAAAGGCACCGTGGCTTGAGACTTGACGGCTTGCGGTACCCTTAGCACACTACTCCCATCCGCATGAACCCCCCCCTCGTCGCTCCTAATCATAAGCGGTGCGCTCTCCCGTGGGATGCATGACCCAAATTATTACCCCTGCTGTACGGCACATGCGCATACCTTGTACGAGGTGCCCAGGGAGTGTTCGAAGCGCGAGTGTACGGCACCCGGGAAGACCAGGTGCGTAAGGCCCAGTTGGTGCAGTTCGCGCAGGCGCTGGAACTCCGGGGTGTCGATGATAGTAACGTTGACCGGATCCAGCCTGGGGTGGCGGGATGGGGCAAAGGCGTTTGCATGCCGACATGAGCTAGGGTGAGCTACACAACGGGTAGCATGGGCAATGGCTCCGTGTATAGAACCCCACCAATGCCAAGTAACGTTTCGGTGCAACTGCGAATGGCACCTGTCAAAACGACATCAGTGGGAGGATGGCACAGGGCAACGGATAGGACTTGATGCTGCATGACCCAAATCGTATTGTGCATGTTCAGTTATCCGCCCGGCCCCGAACTAGGGGCTACGAAAGGCGATGTAAACGTGTCACGAGACTACAAACCTGAATGTTCCGTGGATGGGGTCGCTGAAGATTTTGCCATGCGCATACCGCCAGCGTGGCCGTGGCCGTTCGCCCCGCAATCCACCATCGACACGTCCTGTTCCGGGCCCCGCCACAGCCACGACCGCAGGCGCCAGACCAACGCTCCTTGTCCATCCACATTCGCTGGCTGCTCCGATGTCCTGCTGGGTTGCCTCTAGGAGGCCAGGCAGCTGCTCGTTTTGGTTGGGTGGCTCCGACCCAAAGTTGTATTGCGGGAAAACAAGGTCATCTTGCTGGCGCATGGCCTCCTGCGAGAAGATGACGTCGTCCTGGTCATCCTCCATCTGCAGTGGGCGTTGGGCTGCGGGTGGGGCCTATAACTTGGCGACGGTTTGGAACAGCACAAGGTTAGGTTACGGAAATTGCGTGTCGGATGGTAGGCTGGATCGCCGACGTGTAACTAAACGACAATATTTACAATCTATATTAGCTAAGTTGGCGCTGTCGGATAACGGGACGGCGGCTGCAGTCGGATGCTCCCTTGCACAATGACACTGAAGCCCGGGTAACCTGGATCCAGGTAAAGCAATGCACATACGTTCCTTTAATTGTTCACCTTTTACCCAAAAAAGCAATACCCATGATAAAAAGGCGTTTAAAATGTACATCCTTCCCGCCTTGTGATGTCGTACCACATCTGACGCTGAAGTGAAGCCCTTCTGCAACGCCTCTTATTGTCACGTTGGCCTTGCGCATAACCACAGTACCTAAGTCTCTTTTAAGAACCTATTATACAAGCAAGCCCCGTTAAAGTCACTGCAACTCAAATGGCCAAGAAGAAGAGCAAGGGCGGCAACAAGAATGCTGCAAATGTAGATAACTCAAACCCCAACACGCCTGTCCTAGAGGCTGAGAGCAGTGCAGCGCTCACGGCTGAGGCATCCGAAGCCCCGTCCGAGCCCTCCACTCTGGAAGCTGCGCCAAGCATGGAGGCTTCGCAAGCAGAGGTTTCTCCTCTACCTGCTCAAGGCTTTGGTGATGTGGACGTTGAGGAGTTGAAGCGGGAGCTTGAAGCTTGCAGGTCACAGATCGCCGAGCTGAAGTCTCAAAACGCAGCCCTCAGCGATGAAAACCAGCGACTAAAGGATGAGAAGGCTAAGGCTGTACCGACGCAAGCGCCGACGGCAGGTGCTGCCCCGCCGGGCGACTTGGAGGCGTTGACGCAGCGCATCGCAAAGGTGAGGCGCACGGGTAACTTCCTGGAGTTTTCCCGCCCGCCTACAGCTACATCCTTCCCCGTATGCGACCTTAACCTTGTATGAGGCGTCAGATGTCACAATTGCTGCGCTTAATACCAAAACCGGCCAGTCTTGTCGATAGGACGGTCCACGGTGTTTCTGAGACGTTCCCCCTCGAAAAACTTCTCATCTCACAGCTCAAGGCGGAGCAGGCGGAGGCGGACGCTGCGCGCGAGGCCGCCTGGTCACAACTGAAGACCGTGGTCGCTGATATTGCCCGCCTGGCCGCGCCGGACTCTGCGGTTTCCAAAAGCGTCGACACGTCAACTGCCGGCTTCGGCGTCGCGGCCTAAGCATATGCAGGTGCTCGGGCAACAGCTCTGCGGTGTTCTAGGGTAGTTGGGTCGGCTGTAGAGTCAACGTTACATAAGGATGCGGCCTTCTGGCAGAGACCCGTTGCATAAGCGTGCGACCATTTCGATTGCAAGTAGCGCGCATGGTCTTTCGCACGTATTAAGGATGGCCACCAGCGTCTTCTCCGCACGCTAGTCCGAGTTGGCGTCGGTTGGGCGGTGGATGGTAACTCGTGGCTTAATACGTATGGCGTGTCCAGGGTTGCTGTAGTACAGCCGTAGCAGCATGGCTGCGCTATCTGCATCCACGCGACGTTCCTGTGGGGGAACGGGGTGTGATAGTGTGCGATTCTTAGCTCTTTATTTGCTTTTTATGTATTGTATGGGCACGGATGGTCGCAGCGAGGATGTCTTGCTTGTTAGGTGTAGGTTTGGAAAGGCGGCATATAGAGCGCACGGATGTAGCTTCTGACAGCAAAATCTTATGAGGGCAATTCAACTAGGCCCTTAAACTTACGTACCATCTTTTCTTTGTATGACATGCGATCCTGCCAATTGTAACCAAGGGTCTTGACGACGGCACGTGTCGTGTTCGTCTCATCTGCGAGGATCTCGGTAAGCGTATGAGGATTCCGAAACATTAGCGGTCGAGAAGGGGCTTTGGCACAGTGAAACTCAAAGTTGCGTCCTCCATACCCACCATAGAGATACACGGGCATCCCATGCTGCTTCCCTAGTAGCGCAAGCGTGTGCGCAAGACTGCGGCATCTGGCTCCCTGAAGCAAAAGAAGTCAGGGTAGGAGTTTGCCAACGATTAATGAAGCGGCAATGGCAGTAATCGTAGGGCTTGGCTTGCTAATCATCTAGCACATGCCCATAGAACATATTGCAAGTGCCAACTCGGAACCTCGACCCATGGTTCACCTCCACAGGACTGCGTGTTGAACCCTCCTACCATGGGGGAGTCCGTATGCGGCTTGAAGATGCTGCCCCCCGGCTTGATCGGGATCCCCACCATGACGCCTGTCACCCCCTGCGCCAGAGCCTCTGCCAGGATCTGTCGAGCCACGTCGGACAGCTTGGCGGTTGTCGGCGTGGGGATTACCTGTCGTATTGGGCAAGGCACGCACGGTGTGTGCATGGCCACATGGACAAGTACAGGAGGCCATTGCTTATAAAGCTAGATTACGGAGCTTTGCAGCGCCCAGGCCAAGACCAAAAGGGGGATTAGGAAGGGTCCTTTTGCTACAATGCCGCTGATGCAGAACTTTGGGGACGGCATCTGAACGTGGGCTTAAGCGTTATGGTAGTGGTAAGAAGCATCATACTGCTGCGATGACGTGAGGCGGGGATTGAGCGCGAGGGGCGCGTACCTTGAGAGGGGAGCAGACACCTGATCGCCCCACAGCCAGTCCCGTGGTAGATCTGCCATAATCGACGCCCAGCAACCGATCTGGGACGTCTGTACGGCAGTTGCAGATGTGCGTCGTCACTTGCAAGGAAAACGTGCATGCAATCCGGTCGTATGCCGTAGGTAGGATGAAGCCACACAATCGACACTGACAGCACAACGTGGTGTCTGCGGCTAAAGCCATTGCATACGTAACACTGCGCAGGTTAGGGACCTGTGGACCTAGGTTACGGAGAGATTCCCACACGCAAAGCCCCAGGCCAATGATTTGTGACGTCAACACGCCGCGGCCATCCAAGCGCTGATAGTGAAAGCCTTTTACAATGATATCCGCCCCGCCGCGAGTTATTGTGGGTCGGGAAACACCGCAAGTTATAATTTGGATATCCGTGGTGACTTCCCCAACACGGGCTACCCCATTCCAAACAAAAGTACCCGAACACCCCTCACACCCTTCCTTCCATAGGCAGCGTCACACCTGGAACGCTGCTTGCTACGGTTGGTTCTTTGCTAGGTGGCGCTTGTCTCGCCTCCACACCAGGCTCGTGTTGCCCTGCCGCGGCCAGCCGACACAGCTGGGTAAACGTCGCCCTGGTAATCCCGAAGTTTCCATAAGGCGTCCTCGTGTTTGTGACTGAGTGGCGACGCAATAGCGAGCAAGGTGTGCACACCTTCCTAGCATGTGAACAATTACGAGCACTGTCACATGCAAGCGCTTGAGCCTTAAGCCCTTTAAGCATGACGCAGTTAGGAACACTATAAAGTGATTACAAATAAGGAGCAGGTGCGCATGCTTGCAACGCTCACTGCAACGCCATGATGAACGAATGCGTCAACCTCTCAAGGTATGTAACTATTCCTCTTTCAACCAAGAATGCTGAACTCCGTAATTAAGAAGGAATTTGGGTGGGCCGTACGGAACCTGTAGCTGACATAACTTACCGCCTGTGAACATATTTTGCTCAATTGCCCATATCATATACTCAAAGACCCTACAGCAGCTAGGTGGGCCCAAGAAGTTAGTAGTCAAATAGCTTTAGCTGCTGCCAGCGACACACCGTCAAACATCTTGACGGTGCTTCTTGCAAGCCGTCTGCCTGCCCAAGAGGCTGCTATTATCTTTCTGGTCTAGTTGTCTGCCGGTGGCATCTGTTGGACCAAAGCTGAAGCGCAGGTGCGGTTTGAACTCCAGGCTGTCAATGGCATAGCGATAGCAGGCACCGCAAACAAGTAACTGCTACACAAGCTTTTCGTTTGCGACTTCTTAGCTCTGTCACGCCTTACCAGTTGCCGGGTGCTGGCGCTTTTCTTGCCGCATGGGCGGCATCACTAGCTTGAAAAAAGGCATTCGCACCGGAGCATGTTATAGTTGCTTACATGCTTAGGCTGTTAGGCCACTTCTGTTTTTGTTGTGACATATTGACGCCTATGACGGCTGCGACTTCGTCTCACCAACATTCGAACGTAATCGCAGGCAGCGGGAGAGGATGGGGCGATCGCCCCTACGGCTGTTGCAAGGCTACGTAGTCCTTGCAACGCTCCTTGGGACGTTAGCATGGCAAGGTAAGGTGTTTTTATGTACCGCATCTGGCCTCAGCGGGTCAGGGGCACTGTTCACAACTGCGGATCACCTTAATGTGGGGAGCTAGGTCTCTTGACGCCGTAAGGACTGCGCTAATACTAATGCTCTGCACCATGCCTACAGGATTGGCAGAGGACGATCCAGATGCCGGAGTTGACCCCACCCTTCCAGGGGGTGATGTTGCGGCGCTTAGCCGCTTCCCCTTTTGCCAGTGCCAGGACTACCGCTGCTCATCGGCGCCATACCGGGTGACTTCCATTGACTCCCCAACCGGGCGGACTGATGAGCTTTGCTACCGGATAGATCGCGTGGGTTGCAGTCAGGTGAACCCCTGCTGCAAAATGCTGCTGGACAGCCTTGGGAAGGTCGAGTTCTCCGTCGGTAAGCATCAAGAGTTTCAGAAACTGTTACCACTGGCTAAACAACTGCATGCAGGAATTAGTGTCTCATCCACTGTTCGCTCTTTTCACAGATGCTACTTGTGAGCCTGACTACTTGGGCGCTTACGTGAACGGAGCAAAACGGAATTCCTACTTCGACACGATCTTTGCAACTGGCAAGATTCGTGTCACGCCGCTCGCCATGAACGTTACTACCGCCACCAACGCCACAATCTGCCTGCGCTTTAAGGCGATCTCCAATTGCCTTACATATGATAAACTGTGCGACAACTCAGCGGGCGCCTGCACATACGCCGTCTTTGAGAGCAGCCAGCACCAGTGCTGTCCAACCTGCGCCCAGACGCTCCCGCCGCCTCCACCCATCAAGCCAGCTGTTCGCCAACCGCCATCGCCGGCCCCGCCACCTTCGCCTCGGCCACCCCTGGCGCCACTGCCGCCTCCCTCGCCATCGCCGCCACCGCCATCGCCTCCTCCTCCCCCTCCTCCACCGCCGCCCCCGCCGCCACCTCCTCCTCCCCTGCCGCCCCCTCCGCCGCCGCCGCCACCTCCGCCGCCTCCTCCTCCGCCGCCGCCTTCGCCTCCCCCTCCTCCTCCCCCACCACCGCCTCCTCCGCCACCGCCGCCTCCCCCTCCCTCGCCGCCTCCACCGCCGCCGCCGCCACCGCCACCCCCTCCGCCTCCTCCTCCTCCCTCGCCGCCACCCCCTCCGCCTCCCCCTCCTCCACCCCCGCCGCCGCCACCACCCCCACCGCCGCCTCCTCCTTTCCCTGATGCCGTTCGGCCAGAGTCCCCCAAGTGCGACTGCATCTCGTCCTTGATTCCCTCCACCTCTCGTTTTCGTTTGGAGTATGACCGCTCCATCAGCACGGCCGAGTACGTCACGTACCAGTTTAACCTTTACGTGATCCGCCCTCAGGATTGTTGGGATTCTGGGTATCGCACCGGCAGCTGCTGCAACCAAACGCTGATTAACATTGGCCTGAGCTTGCAGGACACGCTTACCCTGAGTGACTTCGGCAACGTTACGTTGACAACCGATACAGGCTCCGTCATGCGGGTTTCAAAGCAGCGCACCTTCTGGGGCATCAACCTCTACCCCAACGACGTCACCCAAAGCCGCTACGACCCGTCATCACTCTACGTGTCGAACTTCACTTCCGGCAAGCCCTGGACGCTCTCGGTGCCAATTTCCGTTACCGCCGACCCCTCCCCGCAACCAAGGAAGTGGCCATGCAAGACGTCGCGCTACCTGCCAAGCGACTCGAACGTCTGCGACATCTCCCTGAATGGTTACCAGACTGTCGCAGGGGAGCCAAGCAAGATCTTGAACATCACAGACTATGAGATTCCGAACTGCTGCCCTGAGGGTATCGTGCGGTTCCGCAAGGACGACGTCTGCTGCGTGGATAACTTGGCAGATAACCCGTATCGTCTGGCTTACAACGCCACTGCCGATCCGGGCGCGAACAAGACGGCGCTTGCCTTCCAGTTGACCTATGTGGGCGCGACGGCCGTAACCGTTGATGGCATTCCGGATCCCATGCAGCCCAACTGCTCGGTTTCGGAGGTGGATCAGATCATGTTGTACGTCAATCCAGATGTGATCAATTCTGTTCACCAGGTCACGGTCGACGGCGTTGATGTGGACTTTACGCGGTCCAGCAACGCCCACCAGGCCTGGATCCGCGTGATCAACCTCCACAAGACCAACCCTTCGCCTTCACTGTTGGAGGTCTTCATTGGCCAGGACGTCACCGCTGACCAGGTCTGCACGACCAAGGTGGCCGAGAACCACTTGTGCGAGTATGTGCTCAAGGGCGCATACGACAACACTGCCGAGGACTTCATGTGTTGCCCATACGGCGCAACGGCTGTCAGCAGCGCCGGTTGCCCTGCGTAAGCACACTGTAGTACCGTTGCGTGTTCCTGTCTTGAGGAGTGTGAGTTATACCCTTTGGGGCACGGCTGGTTTGGCTGTGTTTCGCATGTAGGTGATGGGCGCGTGCGAATGTCTTGGCGATTAACAGTCGTTAGGACAGAGGTCACGTGGAATGCAGGGCGTGCAGGGGCAGATTGACTAATCTTTGTCCCTACAGGTGCGGCACGGCGTAACTGGCAGAGGGTGTAGTATTTTTATGGCCGTTATCAGGGATGTATGTATGGTAGGCCTTGAGGTTCGGCACGCGCATAGTGGTGCAGAGCCGTCGAAGCATAGCGTCCTGAATGAATGGTAATAGGTGGTGCTGCGCAGCGTTGGTGCATGGAGCTGCATAGGGCTTCGGCCGCACAAAGGGGGTAATCTTGTCTCTTGCTTTCATAAATGACCGCGTACCTTTTATGTTACCGAGGGGTACAGCAACTAGAGGCCCATGCTTCCGGCGCCCCTCAGGAACAACTAGCCACCGCATACCGCTGGCCATTCTAGACAATAACGTTATTCCCCTAACATAGCGCACGCTAATGTGCTCTCTAGACCTGACTTTATGACGTATTTGTTTGGGTTGAGCCAACAGCCCACTTGGCAGGTTGTAACAGACCTGAATTAGTGCTTGCCGCTTCGCCTCCGCGTGTATGTATCGTACCAGCACGATGCGTTTAACTGCCCACGACACCCACCAAACTTTCTTTCAGCGTTTGCATCTGTAGCTTACATCCTGGTGTGGTAGACAGGATTACCAGGCACGCAACTTAGCATTTAGGCCAAAAGCCACGCTGGCTGTCGTCAATTCGCTGTTGAGTGCAAGTGTGAGCGGCAAAACGTAAGGTCCACGGATTCGAGGCACTTCCTGTCCGATGGCTGCCCTTGTTGTGACCCGTGGTCCAGCCCGTCACCCTAAGCATTTAGACTTGCTTTCTTTGGTATGCAGCGAAAGCCTATGTGCAGCTTAATCCGTTTATCTATTCTGCGGCCTCTCAACCACGCGGGTCCAGCATTTTTTAGCCCTCCGAAACCATCCCAATCACTAAAGGCAAGACCAAAAATGGCGTAGCATCGAGCAAGAAGTACTCCGTGCTTTACACAGGAACCATGTGTGGACGTGCACGTTGTTCACTATCTAGAGACGCTCTTCTAACTGCTGCGGGTGTGCCCGAGCAGCGATGGCGCGATGCAGATAAATACCGGCCATCCTATAATTGCAGTCCTGGCGCTTGGATGCCAATAGTCAAGATTGGATCCGATGGGGCGCGAGAGCTGCAGACCATGAAGTGAGCGGCACAGCGCTGGCCAGGAAGTGCCTCCAGCATACTCATTTAGTTCTTCCCGGCGCCTGGATCATACGGTGTATCAATTATGGCTTGGAGGCTGAGTTCATAACTTGCGGCATGCAACATCCTAGCTACATACGGCCTTACTTTTCCGACAACCCTCCGAACACCTTCCGCTTAACCGCGCCACTATGGTGCAGGTGGGGACTGGTCCCCAGCTTTTCCCGGCTATGCCCCGGTGAGCGGCCCGACCACTACCGCATGTTCAATGCCCGCTGTGAGAGCCTGGCCAGCAAGTCGGTCTTCAGTCGGCTGCTACCGCGTAAGCGGTAAGTCGTGATACGCGGATAAAAGGGGGTAACGTTCAACAAGCAGGCGCTCGACTTGTTGCGGCAAGCGCGGTTGGGATACAAGGGGCATTGTGCCGGACAAGCCAGCTTACGTGTTAACATACCGGCCAACCGTTGTTCAGGTGTGTGGTCCTTCTGGATGGTTTCTACGAGTGGCATGCCGAGGGCGGCAGCCGCAAACAACCGTACTACATCACCACCACGGCAGACGAATCCAACCAGCCGGCTATGTACATGGCTGGGCTGTACGACACCTACCATGGTACGGCACGTCGCCATGCCGGCACATGTCAGCTTGTCAGGGTCCCGTTGTACAGGGTGATTCCAGGGCATAGGAGAAGGAAGGGCGGATGGAGTAGGGGCTTAGGCGGCGTGGAATATGGGTTCAGCTGGGGTGTAGTAACCGAGAAGTAGGCGGACGAGCCCAGGAAGGGGCCTTACATGCGAGGAATGGGCGGGGCCTCTTGCCCGCCCTCTCTGCTTGTAAGGGGCATGCAAGGAGGAGGGCGGGGCTGCTTGCCCGAGCTCTTCGGTTATAGGTTATAGGGGCCCTGGCGGCTGAATAGGTGGGCGGCGGGTAGGGTGGGTGGGCAGGCCGCCTCGTGTCTAGATCCCCCTGGTGGCCCCGGGGACGGCATCGCCTCCTGCTGCACGACTGCCCATGCAGGCCAATGAGGGGTTGCTGCCCGGCCTCACACGCTGCCGTACAGCGGCTACCACCTGGTTGCGATGCCGTACATCCCCGCGGCATCGGGGGTACCATGGTGCCTCAGACCCGTCCGTCCGCCAGCCTGCTGCGTGTGTTGCCTGCGGCCCTGCTGCCCCCTGCAGACCCCAGTGGCGGCGAGCTGCCCTCCTTCACGATCATCACCACAGACAGCAGCAAACCACTGGTGGGTTGGCATGGTTTGGGCGGGGGGCGTGGCCGAGGGAGCGGACCCAATGACCGGGATGTGGCCAGGGGCGGGGGCGTGGCTGGTACGTGCGGGGATGGTGATGGTGGCCAGGCTGGGTTCTCTGAACGCGCCATTGTTCGCTAACTCGGCCACCGCACCCCCATCTCTCATCCCCCGCAACACCACACAACGCATCCAGACGTGGCTACACAACCGCATGCCGGTCGTCCTCACTACGCAAGAGGTACGAAAGGGTCCTTGCGAGCTTGTGTGCGGCGGTGCATGGATGCGATGAAAGGACCCCTCAGCGTTCTGCGTGCGCCATATGGGGCAGACGAGCCAGCATGTGTTGCACGGCAACCTAACGCAGGCTGTTGTCCCATCATGCGTCCATGCATGCATGCAATGCGTCAGTGACATGGGGGGTGCTGCATGCAATGACGGCCCATGCGCAATGTCATGAGTCGCGAGTCAAGACCTGGCAACAGGGAGAGGAGATGTCTCCTGCTGCCTCACAACCCCAGTGTATACCTACTACTATCAACGAGGGCGACTGCGCGCCGCAGGAGGTGTCTGCATGGCTGGGTGAAGGCGACAAGGCCCCCGCGGCCGCTGTTGCTGCCTCCACCGGCCCTGCGTCCGCTTCTCCCGCTTCCGCTGGGAAAATAAAAGAAGAAGGAAAGGAGGGACATGAAGAGGGAGAGGAGTCCCAGGGCGGCGGCCCCAGCCGCAGCAGCCGCAGCGAAGAAGCCAGCGGCGGCAGCGGTGCAGGGACCGATGCAGAGAGTGGGGAGCTGGAGGAGGACGGTACGACTAAGCCTGTTGCGGAGGGAGGGCACGGGAGACCGGAGGCGCATGGAGGCAGCATGCGGCGGTCCGGTAAGCCCGGCAAGGGTGCTTCGGAAGCGGCGGCAGCAGCACGACTGGGGATGCTTCCACTCACGGAGCAGGTGGGGGCTAAAGAGGAAGGAAGTGCGGTGTGAGATGTGGGGAACAGGGGCTTGGTTGGAAAGGCAGGAGTGGAGTCGAAGGTGGGGTGTTGGCGGGGCGGACGAGGAGGAGGCGCAGCTGCATGGGCCGCATGCGGGGAGTCGCGGGATGCGGGAGCAGTGTTTTCAGGGCCCCATGCCCTTCTGAGGCTGTCCTACTTTGCATGTTGGGGCAACCTATACAGTGTACACATAGTGAGTAGCGGTAGTGTGTTTGGTTGTTCTGACCCGCAGATATGTCGGCCGTACGGCGGTCCGCTGCTTCGCTGGCACCCGGTCACCCCCGAGATGAGTAAGCCAGGGTACGACAAACCCGACTGCTGCAAGGTACGGTACGGCAGCTCCCTCGTACGTCCGGGAGTTGCGCAGTTCTGTCTGTATGGTTGATAGCGTCCTAACTACGCAGGGCTTGCTGCCTAGCCTAGTTCCGATTTCTCCATTCTCGTTTCACACTTGTTAGTACGTTAGCCAGTCTGTCGTTCATGTTATTCGGATTCGCTAGTTACCGGCTGAACCAAGAGTGCTCCTCCCACCTCTGTGCAGGATGTGCGGACCAAGAAGGGATCAATCGCCTCCTTCTTCAAGCCCAAGTCGGCCGCTACCGGCTCTCCACCTGCTGCCTCTCCCTCCGCCGCCTCGCCCTCTGCTGCTGCTGCTGCTACCTCGCTTGCCTCGAACATTAAGCGAGAGCCCTCTACAGGCAAAGCGCCGGCCAAGGGCGCCGGAAAGCACCCTCATGCGCATTCGCAGCGGCAGCCCCAGCCTCGCCCGCAGCAGCAACAGCAGCAGCTGCAGCAGCAACAGCAGCTGCAGCTGCCCTGGCAGCGGTCTCCACGCCCCAAGAAGCAAGAGGTGTCTACCTCCGATGCTGCTGGTGACGGTGGCGGTGTGCTTCATCCAAAGGTGAAATCGGAGCCTCAGAGCAGGTCTGAGGTTCATCCGCCAGGGACTGAGCATGAGCGGCAACAGCAGCTGCAGGAGGAGCAGGAGGAAGGGTTCCCGGTAGCGGCCCCAGCAGTGCGGAATACGGATGAGTGCGAAGGAGCAGCGGGTGGGGTTGGGGGTGCGGGTGCGGATGGGGGTGCAGGTGGCAGGGATGGCCTCAAGGTGGAGTTGGAGGCGGGTGGAGGTGGGAATCTGAGTCCGGCGGCTGGGCGGAAGCGGCCGCTGGAGGAGGAGGAGTTGGAGGGAGAGGTTGGGAACGCCGGGGCTGTGATGAAGAAGAGGTAACGAGGTTGGGACTGCCATACAGGGATATGAGGAGGTGGTGGGAGAATCAGGGTGCAGGTCGGCGCGTGTGTCAAATGGTGGTGTGGGGTTGGCGCGAATGTTGGGCACATTTTGGTACTGTTGGGTGTTGCACTTCCATGGTTACTGATGGTACAGGACGCTGCGTGGCTCTCTTCCTCGTACGGCAACAACAGACTAAAGTAATCGTAGCTTTCATGCCGTTGGTACTCCCGGTAGTTGATACTGTTGAAGGAGCGCCATGTTAGGGTAGTGGATCGTTGTTGTTACCTGGATTGCTACGACAGTTGGTCAGTTGCAGTGCACAGCTTAGTAATATTACTCATGGGTTATGTGTCGCACTACCCCAAGGGTTGATCAGTTGCACTAGGCCCATTCTTGACGGCTTAAATTGGCCTGGTATCCACACAGGCATCCGCAGTACAGTACTGTAGTTGTTGCTCGCATCCGTTGCTCGCATCCGTTGCGCTGCTGCTCTTATGTTCTTTTCAGTTATAAATTCGAAAGTTGGAAGTATAGGTTCATCACAACTCTCTCTCGCATGTTGCTGTGGCTGCATCTCCTTTTCAGGCTTTTCTGCTACTCCGCCCGTCATGCCGCCCGTCGCGTCGTACGGCTATATCGCAGGGTTTCCCACGTGTTCCTTGCCACTTCGCTGCTGCTTATTAGTGTACAGCTGCAGTTCTGCTGTCATGCCCTCACTCTCCCACTCGTCACTGTCATCGGCGAAGGATTATACCCCTCTGTCAAGCCACAGGCTGCTTTTTTGCTATCGTTTTTACTAAACGGCTGTTTACGATTGTCGCTCTGTAGACTTTATGACACTTGGGATTCCTTTGCCTTTCCCGCGCGCAACGAGGGAGAACGGCAACTAGGTAGAGCCCGTGGCACGCTAAGCGTCATAATATGAACAGATGTGCTCAGTTACACTGTTATACTACGATGTGGGTTTGTTACTGTTGAAGCCATGGTGGCGACGGTTGTGATGTAGTTGCCCGCTTACGTGTGGAACCAGCTTTTTTGTATTGGCGCAACAGTAGGTATCTATGTATCAACTATGGCACCAGCGGGGCTTGTTGCTCCTGCTTTTATTCTGGGTCGCCATTGCTGCGATGGCCGACAACGCTGGCTACCAAACGCCAGAGACTGCGCAAGCAGAGTATCGCTCGTCATCACCAGTTGATAGGCTTGGTGTTCGCATGATCAGCCCTATCTACGCCACAATTCGGGACGGCAACAAGAACGTGACCGTTGCGCTAACTGTTTGGCTGCGGCGCGTTGGCGCAGCCAAGGGCCCTTTCGATCTGCCGCACCAAGCTAAGGTGCGTGGGGACCTGATAACGACCTCATGTCGATCACTTCTTGGGCCATAGGTGCATGTCGGGAATGGGTAGGGTCCAAGGGTGCCACGCATTGTCGCCATGGAGTCATACCTTCACACCCTGCCAACCCACTTTGCTGCATACAGGACGCTATCAGGATGCTGGTGTGGGTGGAGAAGCCTGACGACCTGCACAAACGCAAGTTTGGTCATATGGTGCTGCCGTACAACCACAGCGTCTGGCAGCCCGAGCTGCTGCTAGAGACCGCAGAGCCGGGACCTGTACTCCAGGTCTTGCCGGAAACGGGGCAACAGCCGATTCCACCGAAGATTGAGAGCGCGCTGCGGCCCTACTCACTGCGTGTGGAACTTCCAGCCGGCGTTGGCGACTGCTTCAAGGTGGGCGGCAGGGCGGGGCAGCCTGCCTGCTGCATGTGACCACGGGGAGCGAGGAAGGAGGGCTACTTGCTTGCCTGGATGTTGACGCTTCCTGGGGCCGATCTGCACCCACATGCTCGCAGCAACACGGGTGATCAGCAGGCGTCAGCTGGCTGACGCAAAATGCGGGTGTGCTCGGGTACACGTCCTCCCATACAAGCACCTCCCTCCTCCCTGTGACCCTCCTCCCATCCTTGTTACCGCCCCGGCGCCCCCCCCCCGCTCAGCTCATAGAGCCCAGCTACCCCAAGCACAAGTTCCCCATCTGCCTGCCGCCCGCCGCCAAGGACGGTGTGTGCGCCGAACTCGCTCCTCCCGCCCGTCACACCGCCTCCGCACCCGCACTCTACATGACCATCGCGCCGGTTCGGCTGTTGGACCCGGACAGCAGCGTGGAGGGCCAGTGCGCCGCCGACCGCGCCTCCCTGCGCGACTGGCAGCAGCACTACGGCCGCTGGGCGGTGCGGCTGCGACACTACCTGGAGTACCACGTTGCCATGGGCGCGTCGGGGCTGCTGCTGTACACGGACGAACTGATGCGGCGATACCTGGCGGCCGCACCGGACATCCGCGTCTTCCTGGAGAATAAGCAGCTGAGGTGGGCTGTGAGGGGGCTGAGGGTGGGAGGAGGCAGGGTGGTGTAGAGGTTTAGTGAGCCATGGAGGTGTGTCATGCGGTTACGGTATTCCTATTAAGGTAATTGCAGTGGGTAGCGCTGGATCAGCCTTGCATGAACAGCTTGGTACGGTAGTCAGGCCGTTCAGCTCCCGCGCATGGGTCACTCGCTTGAGGGCAGGGCAGCGCGATGCGCCTTGAGAAGGGAACAAGGGCGGTGTGCAGTAGCGGGATTGCATGCCATCGTATGGCACCTTGTACGGCACCTGGTCCGGTCGCGCAGCTGCCTTGGAGGAGGCTGCTCGGCAGCGGTGGAGACTTGCACGGCTGTAGACATGACGGCTACGCACCCCGGCTATCCTGCTGCATGGCACCCCATGCCACAGCTGCCTCCGCCCTTTCCCCCTCCGCCCCGGCAGCTGCGGTTCCGCCGGAAAGCCCCAAGCCAAGTGTGCCCTCCCATTTGTGCGCCCTCCCATTTGTGTGCCCTCCAACCTCACCACGCACTTCTCCACCTTCACCCCCGCTGTCGTTACCAACTCACTGTCACATTCTTTGCCCCGCCTCGCCTCACCCGCCCCCCGGCTGCTGCCCCCCCCCCACTCCCCCCCTCCAGGCTGGTGGAGTGGGACCTGCCGGAGCGCAGCCACGAGGATGATGACGGCCTGGGGCGACCCCTGGGGTGAGGAGGGGGGCAGGGCAGGGGCGGGGGGGACCGGCCCCGGTGAGGGGGAAGACGACAGCTGATGGGACGGGGTGGGATGTGTGCGGTGGGTGCCCGCGTCGTGGCAGGTGCCACAGCAGGGCGGCAGGGCGGGTGGGAGATGAGATGACAGCCTGGACCTCGAAGCCAATGGCTGCTGGATAGCTGAACGCAGAGGGAGGCCGCGGACACGGCAGACGGGGCTGGGGAGGTTGTGCCGTGGCAGGGCATGTGGCCCCGCGGGGTTGCCCTGGGCACCGAGTGACACACTAGACCTCACTTCTGCATGGCCTTTCCAAGCTCGTTTTACCTTCCTTCTCCACCCTGCGGCTGCCCTCCTACTCCACCGGGCACCCCACCGCCTCCCCGCCCTCCGGCTGCCATGCTTGCACCCCATGGTGAGGCCTTGTCATACAGCTTGGTAGGTGCCTCATCAGTGTCTCCTTATTTTTTCACCCTCCTCCCACGCTGCCCCCCCCCCTCCCTCCCTGCTCCCAGCTACAACTACGACCAGGCCCTGTTCGCCGGGCACGCCTGGCTGGGGCTGTCCGCGTGCGGCGCCAACCTGATGCTGCTGGTCACCGACCTGGACGAGTACCTGCACTCGCCCCGCCCGCACGTGCGCTGGCCGGCGCCCCTCACCAGCTGCATGGGCCACCGGGGTGGGGCCGCCCGCGCCCTGAGGGCCGTCAACAGAACAAGCGGGGGGCCCCCGGGGGCCCGCCGCGCCGCCACCACCACCTCCAGGACCACCACCACCAACAGACCCAGCACCGATAACAACAGAACCATCCGCAGCCGCCGCCTGCTGCAGGAGGCCGCCCTCACCCCCACCACCAAGACCAGCACCAATTCCACCACTACCACCAAGTCCACCGCCATCAGCGACTACCGTCTGCTGCGGTATGATATCTTGGCGGGCGACATAGACCCGGACGAGGAGGCGGAGCTCTGGGCCACAAGGCAGGACGGCAAGGGCAGCGGTAGCAGCAGCAACAACAGCAGCAGCAGCTCTGTTGTGAGTGCCTCTCACCCGCTGTCACACTACACGCTAATAGCCAAGCAGCCGTACCATGCGGTCCACGCCAAGGTGCTGGGGCTGCCCGCTGCAAACATGGTGTTGTTTTTCGTGCATGAGGGGCACGTGCTGTACGGCAAATCGCATGTGGTGGACCCGCAATGCCTAGTGCTGCTGCACGTGATCAATTACCACTGCGCGCGGCGCATGAGCTCGGATCGAGAGACGTTGAAGGAGTTCAGTCACTGGATGTTTAGAAGCGCCAATGCGACGACTAAGGGTCAGCAGCCAGCCAGTGTAGCGGGGCAGCCTTGATTCCAGATGCGCTGAAGAGGGGTTGAGCGGGTTGGCGGGTCGGAGTGCTAACCTGCGTGGCCTGTCGGCCCCTTCACACATGCACGGTATGTACACCGCTTACACTGCTCCTTTGGTGAAGTACCGAAACGCGGTTTCCTATGGCGAGGAGTTGTTACAGAAGTGCAACGTATGATGACGATGATGATGGTGATGATGATGATGATTTTATGCCGCGGGTTTTTATGCATTCAGTTGTCTCTCAGTTTGGTGTGTTACTCCACCGGGGGGCCTTATGGTGCATTGAAGCAGGGCTGTCTTTACTTCCGGCCACTAGTTCAGCAACGGGGCGTCGATGGAGGAGGCGGGCTTCGCCATGAGATTCAATTCTTGTCAAACGAACGGTGTTGCCAGGAGTGTTTTGCAACGGACTTTTACAATGGTTGGGCTGGAACGGTTAGTTTGCCTTGATTGGGCGTTAATCGCTGTAATAATGCGTTGAAGAAAAATGGGTGCTGGGTTTTCTTGACTCCTTATGTCCGTAAGTTACACCATTATGGTAAGGCGGCTTGCTTGCATGCGTGCTGCTGCTGCAGCGCTGGGAGTCTTGCCTAGTCATGGACGCTGTCCTTGTCGAGCCGTTGCTGCTATGTGGACACGACATGACCAACTTAGCAACGACACTGTGTGCGCGTGATGCAACCCCTGGCAGAAGGGGTTTTGGCGTGTTTGTCAGGATTGTGGCATGTCGTACGAGAGCTTTGTGCTGACTTTATGAGATTGTTTACCATTTCGTTGGCGAGGCGGCTCATGCTAAAGCTGATGTCGTAGTTAGGGTAAGGGGTGGGAGGACCCCAAAGCTCCTGCAACGACCCAGCTCCTGCAGGGGGACTCTGCCCTGACCGCCCACACGGCTTTGGGTGGGCTGTTCTGGCAGTATGGGCTCCACCATCTTGTTTAGCTGAGGCCCAACTCCAATGCTAGGTCCCTGAAAATCCCGATGGATTGTGCTTCGTTTACAATGTCGCACGATATGAGATAAGCTGAGTACTGAAGCCCCTCGTTAAGGTTACAACTTACAACGCAGCGGGACACCTTGCGAAGTGCTACCCAGGCTTGCAAATGCGCAATACCCCAGGAGCGTCGGTGCGCTTCCTGCGTGATTGATTTCTGACCGCTATCTACTCTGTAGCCGTCCGTGAACATGATCCACCTTGTCGTACAGCTCAATAGCAAACCGAGTGCAAAGCGTGCGCGCAGGCTATTGTGACTATAATGTTTAACTAAATGCTAGACTATAGTAGGGCCTCGAAACGCTTTTTCGCTTTTTCAGCCATGACAGCTGCTTAATGACAGACGCTGACAGCGTACGCGTTAAAGCCCAGCAAAGTAAGGCCTACAAATATGGGCCTCTGCAACTGTTATTATGTTAAGAGTAGTACCGGTACTAGAGCCGTTTAACAGCTGGTGGCTATGTTGGACCATATGGAGAACTCCTCCAGCCCCCGCAATGACGACGTCTCGGAGGATCTTGACTTGCTTGATATGTTAAATAAGGACGATGGGATACACTCACAGCTGTTACTTGCCCGCTTACAAGCAAGAAACCCTAGGAACACGGTTTCGGCATCCTCGGTAAGTCGCGGGACAAATCGCAACAGTGTTAGCCTGGGTATCTATGCATGTTGGTAACGGTGTTCAACCGTTCATGTTCGACATTAATGCCCAATTGCATGTCTGTCTTGCCAGGCAGGTCCCTACTGCGGAAATGCATCCTCTCATCAGGTGTTCCCAGGTTGCAGCAGTCTGCCAGTAAGCCCCGGTCGCAACCAGAGTAGCAATGGCAGGAGCTCAGGCGCCGCCGGACTTCGCGGCAGCGTTTCCCTTCAAGTTTGTCACCCACAACAGCATGCCGGCAGCATCCTCGACAGGCCCCATGGCAACCACAACGAAGTTGCGCTCAGGGCCATCGTTCGTGCGCTTCAGGTAAGACATGCCTACATAAAAGCTTTAATTAAATAGCCGGCCTACTCGCTGAATTCCAGAGTACGCTTAGCCATGTCTGTCCTCTCGAGTGTTCTTGCGCATCTACCCAGGTCTATTATCCATGGGTTACACACACCATTGCTGCCCATCGTGGCCCATCACTCAACCCTCGCGCGCTACATGTAGGCCAAGCTCGAGGCCGTACAGCCCACAGGGGGAGGCGGTGCTGGGGTCGGAGCCGGGAGCCCAAGAGGGAGGCGTGCGGCCGCCGCTGCAGCAGCCGCGGCTGGCCCAGCCGGGATAACTCAGGCGGGGTGTGCTAGCCCCCGGCTGGCTCGGGCTGGCTCTGCGGGCCGAGCGTTGCCGGGTTGCGGCTGCAGGTGGGGTTGCTGGAGCTTGGGCAGTTGGCCGCTGGGAGACAAGACGGCGGTGCCGTGGGACGTGATCAGGCATCTGCGCTAGCTGTGAGCATCCCCATCGCCTTCACATACCGGTACAACCAAACACTCCCCACCACGCCGTTGCAACCTCTCCTTTGCAGGCCCCGCACCCGCCCAGGCGCCTGCTGCAGCCGCTGCGCCCGTATAGCCGCTTCTGCTGCTGCAGCGCCCGCCGCCGCCGCAGCTGCCGCGCCAGCACGAGCGTCAGGCCACACCTCGGCAGCGGCTCGAGCAGCAGCCACAGTGGCCGGCCACATGGGCCGCTGCTTGCTGCCTGGTCTGGCCGCCCCACCCTGCTTCCCCGCGGCAGCACCGGCGCCTGCGCCCGCGCACTTGGCATTAGCAGGAGAAGGAGGTGCAGCAGCGGGAGCCGCAGTAGCAGGGGTCCAGAGCGCTGCACCCGCAGCAGCATGTGCGGGCGCGGCTGCAGCAGCGGCTGAGGCTGTCGGGTCCCAGGGGCTTGACGCGGCCCTAGCAGGAATGTCCCGTGGGGCCCTTGTGGCCAGGCTGAAGGAGGCAGAAGCGCAGGTGGGGTGGGGTGGCTGGGGTCCGTTGGGAAAGGGTGAAACCAAGACTGGAGAAGTGGTGGGCTACAGCTTAGTGTCAGGCTGCAAGTTATGGGATTCATGCCGTGTTCCTGAGCGCTTGGCATCAGGTTCTGGTGCTGCCATGTCCGTGCCGATCTGGGAGCGGGCGAATAGCGGACCGCTACCCCTCGCGTTTGTCCCGCTTCACCGGACGTCACTCTGCCCCGCTCACAAGGCACCCCTCTTACCTGCTCCCCTCCTAACCCAGATGGCGGCCCTTCGGCGTTCCGAGGCTCTGGCTCGCCAGGTAAGCATGGGGGCTGTAACCTCTGTGGAATGAATCGTCATGGCGCAGGATGGGCGCTGCGACTCGTTCCTAAACAGCCCCATCTCAGCAGGCCCTCTTGAAACCCTCGACGTTCCCTAACCCATCCTTTCTTCCCGCCAGCGCTGCGAGTACCTGGCTGACGGGGTGAGGGCGGGCCGCAGCGACAAGGGGGCGGCGGCCAGGCAGGCGGAGGCGGCCAGGAAGCTGGCGGCGCAGCACGGTAGGTGGGGGAGGGGGCGGCGGATGGGAGAGTGCTTAACGGGATGTGCTTGATGCGGAGGCGCGGGCGGGACGACCTGGATGATATGGGAGTGGACAGTTGGTTTGCCAACCAGCCTGCCTAAATACCAGTCCACATGTTGTGCGGCCCATGGGAGTTCATGTGGGATGTGCCTGCAGAGGAGGAGCGGCGGCTGCTTCAGCGGCGTGCGGAGAACCTGTCGGCTTTCCTGCGCAAGGAGAAGGAGGCTAAGGAGGTGGGTCAGGGCGGGGTTGTCTCTTGCATGTACGGTACGCGTAGAGCAGAGGGCAGCTGGGCTAGGAAGGGAGTGCAGCGTGCGGGGGAGGCAAGGGCTATGCGGGTAGCCCGAGTAGCAATGTGTGCGGAGGAAGAAAGCGGCATGCGTCCGACAGCACTGCCGTGGAATTGCCGAGGGACTGGAGCGGGGCATGTGAAGCGGCGGATGGTGTCCAAAGGGAACGTCCCAGGCCTCCACGGCGCACGTTGACATGTTTGGGAAGGGCAATCGGGGAAAAGCTGGGTTCCCTCCAAGCTTTCCGGTAGTAGGCGGTACTCCGTCCGTGGCGTTCCGTGGCTTACTGATTGGCTGTGAAAATGGCTGGAGGCACGCGCATATGTCACTCTCAGCACGACCCAGCGCTTAATAAGGAAAGCATTTCCACACCAACACCGCAGGCTGTGGAGCGGGACCTGGCGGCGGAGCGGCAGCGAGCGGGCGGCCTGGCGGTGCAGCTGGCGGGGGCTCAGCAGCAGCTGGGGCACATGAAGGTGGGTGGCGAGCAGGAGTGATAACTCTTTCCAGATAGGGAGCCGGCCGGTAGAGAATAAGGAGAGTGCCGCGAGTGATGGGCATACAGGAGAGCAAGCCATTCAGCGGCTTTCTTATTGGTAGATTCAACGGCATATTCGTCAACTGCCATGTGGCAGGCCGGCCCATACGTCCGAGGGTGGCGAAGTTCGCGGTGCGCCTCCCTCCCTCGCCCCTCTACATGCCGCCCCCCTCCTTCCCCCCCTCAGCACCCAACTCTCCAGCCCAATGTGAAATGAGTACCCCTGTATATCCCCTCTCAGGACCTGCTGGACGAGGCTCGGCAGCAGTATCGCCACTTCCTTGACATCAACAAGCAGGTGGGGGGACTGTTGGGGGCACACAACGGTACCTGCAAAGCAGGAAAGAGGGTTGGGTGGGAAAATGAGTCCCAGGAATGATCGAACACCTACATGGCTCCGAAGCTTCAGGCCCGTCCCACGACCCCTTTTCCTTCACCCGACTTGACCCCATGTGGCCATGTCCCCACGCACCGTCCCCAGGCTGTGGAGCGCGCCTCCCGCTTGCAGGACCGCCTCCGCCGCAGCGGCGCCGCGCTGGCCTCCGCCCGCCACGAGGCGCACACCAGCCGCCTGGCAGCGCAGCGCGCGGAGTCCACGTCAGCGTGCATGCGGCGGCTGCTGGAGGAGCTGTACATGAGCAAGGCGTCGGGGCAGCTAGGGGCGGCGCTGCAGGTACGGTGGGGCGCAGGTGGAGGGTGTGGTGGTGGAGGGAGCGTCCTGAGCCGCGGCGGCTTTGTCGGTCCTGTCCTTCTACCTTGGAAGGAAGCCCGGTTGCGGATAGGAGGATACCGGTAGGCTGATGGGTGTCGTTTGTTTGCATGCAGGAGCAACTGGATACCATGCTGCAACAGCTTCACCGACAGCAGCAGCATCAACAGCAACCGCAGTCAAGCGCCGCCGCAGCAGCCGCAGACACAGCTGCTTCCGCCGATCATGATGCCTGCTGCACCAGCCCCTCCGCCTGCTCCCCAGTTAGCCCGGCGCCATGCAGTGTCGCCTCACCCCACAACGCGCCTCATCCCTGTCTGAAGCAGCAGCCTGCGAAGGATTCAGCTGCGACCCAGGATAAAGCCGTACATGCTGCAGTGGGACACAGAGCTGCCAGCAGAGGACGTTCCACCGGGATGAAGGGGGCGGCTCCGTCGCGCCGTCAGCCGGTGCCGACTGCGCCAACGCTTGCGGCGGTTGCGGCAGCGGCAGCAGCGGGGGGAACTCAAGGGGATGAGACTCCTGGGGCCCCCTTGCCGCCGGATGGTGGGGCGGGTCCAGCTGGCATGGCAGCTGCAGTGGCGGCACTCTTGGAAGCGGCTGCTACGACTACCGGTGCCAGGGATGGCACGTGCGTAGGTGATGGCAGCCGTCGTTGCAACGGAGGCGGTCCTAAGGAAACATTGAAGCAGGCGCGGGGGCGTGCCAGGGTTACCACCGGCGCTGAGGACACGGGGCCAACTGACACCGACACGCCTGCCATGTTTCAGCGCCTGCATCGACGTCTGCAGGCGCAAGCGGGGCTTTCGGGTGGCTCCAATGACCCACGGGTCGCTGGCGCTCCCGACCCGCACCTTGCACGCATGCTTTGTGCGTCCGTGTCGTCAACACCCTGTCCAAGCACCGGTGGCGTGGGCCGCAGCGATTATGGGAGGGCGGCTTGTGCAAACGGCCAGCAACCCAACCGCCCTGCTGGGACAGCCGGCGTCGGCGGAACACATGGCAGCAGCATCCATTACAGCCCTTCCGAATCAGGAAGGTCGTCGCATGTCGGAGGGCCGACAGCAACTCCTACAGCTGCCGTGGGCAGATGCAAGCTGCCATCGGGAACGTCCCGTGGTCATCCGACACCAGGCGGGAGGCCCAAGTCCAGCCCATGCGTGTCTCGTAAGGCTGCTGCCGCCGCAGCCCCCGCCGCCGCCGCCGGTGGCAAAGGCAGACGTCCCTTGACGGAGAACGAGTCCCGGCCAGGCACAGCTGACGGCGGCGGCTTGCTGGCCCAAGCCCTTCTAGCGGATCGCTTGCTAGACCGTGCCGCAGCGGTACGGCGTGCGACCACCACCGCTGCCGCCGCCGCCGCTGCTGCTGCTGCCAAAGCCGGTGGCGGTCACAACTCCAGCGGCAGCGCCCTGGCGGATCTCCCGGTGTCCCGCCGGACCGGCGCCTCGCGACGGCCCGCCTGCGCCACCAAGGCGATTGCTGCTGCTGCGGGAGCGGCGGCTGGCTTGGCTTGCAGGCTCCGGCGCGCTGGGGCCCGGGCCGCGAGCATGGGCGCGAGGCTGCGCACGGAACGCCGGCGGGCGCAGGAGGGCATGCAGGCCCTGGCGCAACAGCTAGAGGAGCAGCAGCAGCAGGAGCGGCAACGGGCGCGACAGGCAGCGGCCGCAAACCAGGGCGACGAAGAGGAGGAGGAGGGAGACGACGTGGACGAGTATGGAGAGAGCGAGGATTCCAGCGATGACGGGGCAGATATGGACGTCTCAAAACGCGCTAAGCCAGCCTCCGCCGCGATAGACGCTGGTCGCCGGCGTCGGCTGTCTTTGCCCGCGGCAAGCCGGCGCGACGCCAGTGGCGGCAGCGGCACCGCCGCTGCCGCTACCGCTGGTGCCACCACCCTCGAACAAAGCGCCTACCACGCCGCTCCGACAGCCGGCGGAATGCGGCGACGTGGGGTGGCTGACCCACGTCACGGCAGCCATGACGACTCCGATGCGGAGTCTGCCTTCTCAGCCCCAGACACGGACCCCCTCCGTGACTGCTTCGACTCCTGCCCGCCATCCGCTGCGCCTTCCGAGGCCCCCAGCCTTGCTGCAGTGGTTGCTGCGCGGCTGGCCACTGCAGCCCAGCGGCAGCAGCGGCTGAGGGAGCGAATGGAGCTGGCAGTTGAGACGCCTGGCGGGTGTTCCTCGCTTACGGAAGAGGGCAGTGGCGGTGACGGTGTTGGCGGCGGTCTCGAGTTGGGAGGAAGAGGAGGAGGGCATGGAGGAAAGGGGAGGCCCAGCAACGGCGGGCAGACGGAGCAAGGGCGGAGGGTGGAAGCTAGGAGCGATGAGTGGCTGAGGAGGGCTTTCATGGAGGACGCCCAAGCGACGCCGAGCGAGCAAAGGACGCCGCCAGGGAGGGCGGTGTCAGCCCTCCCTCAGCGCTTCCAGCAGGAGCAGCAGCAGTCGGCGCGGCCCCGGCAGCGGTTGCATGTGGACTGCAGGCAGGCAACGGATTGCGCAGACGCAGGTACCTCCGCCGCCTCCCAGCTAGAGTGCACAGTTGAATGCGAAGGATCAGAATCAGAAGCACCGTCGGACGCCTCGCCTTGTAGGCCGGTACCGCCGCGTCGGCAAGGCGAACGGAAGGGCGGCGAAGCCGACGGCGGTATGGATGGCGCCCGCGGCAGCGACGAGAGCCGCAAGGGAAGCGGGGGCGGAAACACGAGTGGGCGGGAGGTCGCCGTTCTGGAGAATGGGAGGGAAACGCCCGTGAGTGGCAGGGGCGATAGCGCCTCTGAGTATGAAGAAGAGCAGGAGGACGATGAAGAGGAGGAGGAGGACGAGTACGACGTTTTGTGGCGCCGACAAAGCGGGTATGGGGTCGGCCGAAGCGGCAGAGGCGAGCATGCGCCTGACGGCAACGTGCGGCCTGGGGTTGACCAAGGCGATGGTGGCGGTAGTGGTGGCGTTAGTGGTGGTGGTGGTGGTGACGAAGGCGCCGAGTACGGCAGCCTTGTTGTCCCGGGGTGCCGGCTTGGCGCTGGAAATGGAGGCGAGGAGGACGCCAGTGGCCATCTGGACCCTTATGGCGAGGAGGGTGAGGACCCAGGGGTACGGCCCCCCGTGCCGCGGCTCCTTCTTCCCTCTGCTGCTGGTGAGGACACAGCCGCTGCTGCAAGCGAGCATGAAAGCGAGGTGGTCGAGGAGGAAGAGGAGGGGGCTGGCGGCTGCGGTGGCTTAGCAGCGGACATCGGGGGTAATGCGGGTGGCGCTGATGTGGGCTACGATGACAGCGACGGTGATGACGGTGGCGGCGGCGGCGGTGGCGGCGGATGGTACCGTCGCCACGGGGATGAGGACGACCTTCCTGCGGCCTTCTCTCCCGCGGCTTCCTCCGTCGCGACAAGCTGCACTGAGACTAGCGCCGCCGCCTTTGCCGCGGCAGTTGCGCGGTCGTCAACCGCTGCTGGCACCCGCGCGGCCGCCCCATCCTGTTGTACAACAAGCCGAAAGGCCGGTGCTGCCGCCGCTCCGAACGCAGCCCAACCGACAACCCGACGGGCCCGAGGCGCGGACGATGCAGAAGCTGCGGTTAGGTCCAGCCGCCCTCGGAATGTCAGCTCTGGATCCAGATCGGAATCCGCGACATCCCTTGGATCCGGAGATTCCAGGCAAGCTGGGCGGGGCGGCAGCAGTCGTCCTACGGGGAAACCCCTTCGAGCGCTACCGAGCAATCCCATTCCCGCCCTACCGGCACCACAGCTCGCCTTGCCGCAGCCGCAGCAGTCGCAACTCACGCCACGGCGCCTAAGGATGATCAAGGCTCGCGCTGCCGCTGCTGCGGCGGTCGGGGCGATACACGGCGGCGTTTCAAGCGGACGGAGAGATGGCGCAGCAGCTGGGGCGGCAGCATCGGTGTCAACGGGAGGCGGTGGCGGCATGCGGCGGTCGGCGGCAGCTGCTGCGGCGTCAGGCAAGAGCCGGGTCCGCAGCAGCGGCGGAGGCATTGGCGGCAGTGGTGGCGGGGGTGGCGGTGGCGGGGGTGGTATGACGGGAGAGTTGCGTGCTAGTTACCTGGCCCTAAAGCGACAGCGGCAGCTGCAGTAGGCAGCGTCTGTGCTTAGGGAAGCGGGTGAGTACCGTAGGGCGTGACTGCAGGACGTAGGACGTGTTGGTTGAGGTGCTGAAGGGGCGGTACATGTAGTGGTGCCTGGAACCCAGGATAGCTGTGTCGCATCCAACCGGGTTCACGCCTTGGAGCAGGCTAGGGCCCGTCCCTGCAGTTCCGGCACAAGAGCTGAGGCCAGGACGGGTAGCAGGCTGGAGCTGGATCTCAGCTGAGGCAGTTTACATGGATGTCTCTCCGGCTATCCTGGAATGCGCTGGGTGTCCCAAAGGTTGTAAACGTGTTTCAAGTGCGGTTACCGTAATGCCTTACGCAGGTCTCGCGTCTGATTTGCCGCTTTTGAAAGGGCCTGGAGTGCGTTCAGCCGCAGACTTACACAGGAAGGCACATTGACGGGCATTGCACCTGATTACACGCCAACTCGTCCCTGACAGCTGGCATCATTGGAACGGCAATTGAAACGGAAGTTCGGCTTGTCACCATCGAAACTCCCAAGTTGAACCGCTTCAGAGACCGCTCTGGTTGATGTTAGATAGCCCCCACGGCTCACGACTGCTCAGCCAAATACCCGGCAACGGGCTAGAAGCTCCAAGTGGTCTGCGCCCCTGCAAGCAAAACCGTCTGAGCTGCGCCGCTCCCGCCCGTAGCGCCACAACGCCTCGACAGCACCACCCCTGGAGTCACCAACACGCCATGCGCAACAGGTAGCGAAGCGGACGCCTCCACCACTAGCATCCCGCTGCTGTTGGGAGGCGACCCATGGGTCAGCAGGTCAAGCGGCGGACCAAGAAAGCGAGAGTTTGGTATGGCAGTGGAAAGAGGACTTCGGCAGACACCGGGTGCCCATGCTTTTGTGTATGTGGAGCAAAGTTGCACCATTGTGGTAGTAAAATGAATCCGGCATGTGGCACGCTTTTTACCGTCCAAAGTTCCGAGCCCATACCCCGCCACATTATCTATCACCCCTACCTTCCGGTTCCGTTGCCCACATCCGCAAGGACCGCAACCACATTCCGCCGATGGCTGACACATAGTCCGTAGCTCCTGCCGGTGTCCTCATCAGGCAACGTCGCCAGCCGTACACCCATCCTCCGCTGCCGCCACTGCTGCTGCCCTTGTACGGCAAGACCCTCTCCCGACGGTGACGGCGCCTCACCGGCCCATGGGTCACTGAGCTGCCCACTGGTGCTGCCAGCGCCGGCACCGCTGCTACGTCCCATGAAAGCAGGGGAGGCACCACTCGAGGAGGGGGCCGAGGAGTCCGCGGTGGCGAGCCATGCTGAGGCCGTCAGACGGTCATTCAGCTGCACAGCGGCTGCGGGGAGAGTAAGAAACCAACCAACCATAGGAGACCACATGTTAGGGCAAAGCAATGGGGATAGGAGGCGGCAGGGTGCTACAAACCAAGAGAGCGTTAGCGGCCTAGGTTGGTGGGGAGCGGAGGGAATCGGGGCAACACTCGGGGAGAGCGGCTGCATGGTAAGGGCAGCCACGATTGCAATGACTGCACACGCACACGACACATGTTGAACTGCAAGGAAAGGGCACAGTTGCCGATCCAGACCCCAAGTACCGGTAAGCAGGCGTACGCGGGGGTTCACGGAATTCTACCGGTAGCAGCCGCCCCTGAGGATTCGGAGCCCTGGGCCCCGCCTGCCCAAGACGGGTACCCATTCGACATTCCCCGTGGCACTCACGTCCCCTTCAGCGCCCATGCCGCCTGCCGCACTCACCCACGAGACCTCGTTGCAAGCAGCGCCCCGCACCGCCGCCATCTTCGTTCAGGCAGGACGGAGGTGGCGGTGACGACGACGAGCAGGAAACTGGAGATGGGGAGCAGGAGGTCGTCTGAGCCCAGATGGCTGACAGCGCGATACGCCTTGAGCGATGCAGCGACAGCTGAGCGCAGGTGGACGAGCGCGAGGAGGAGGAGCAGGAGGTGGAGGTGCGGGCGGCTCCCGAGGCAGCCTCCGCGGGCGAGGCGGCTGCATGTACGGATGCGTTGTTGAAGGCCCCCACAGCCAGCGAGAGCTCTCCAGCGGTGGCGGCCACTGCCGCGCCCGCGCCGCCTGAGTCCGACAGGAGTGACAGGTCGTGACCTCGTCGCATGGAGGCGGTCAAGCCGCGAGGCAGGCCCCCACCGGCTGTGGTGGAAGGGAGGCGGATGCAGAATCAGGGTTGGGAAGTGGAGGGAGTGAAGGGCCTTCTGGGCGTGCTCAGTTCATTAATTCCAGAGGGTAAAGCCAGCGGGCATCAAGGGTGGCGGGAAGGAAACGAAGCCAGTGCTGGCCCGAATCTTTCCTTCCTTCCCAGCCTGCCAAAGCCGAAGCCTACCTGCGAAGGGATTCACGTTCTTGGCGATGTTCTCAAGTGACCCGTGGGTCGCGAGCAGAACACGCAGCCGAGGGTGAGCCTCCGCCTTCAGCAGCAGCTGCAAGTGTTAGGGTGGGAACCAGTGAATTTGCGACCTCGCTCGGACGTTCAAAGTGCATAAAAGGTTACCCAAGGCCACCTAGCTCTGCTGGGTTCGTGTGGACCGGACCTAGCGACGGACCGGTATATCAAGGCTTTATGCCAACCGACAGGCTTGGCAACCCCACCCAAAACCACCAAACCGCAAGTTCCATGGACATCCACATCCACTTACAACAAGACAGCCGGCTGCGCGCGAAGGCTGCATCATCGTGAAGCTGCTGTGGACCCCTTTACCATGCCTCCCACCCAAGCAGGCCCCTACCGTGTCCACTACCGCTCTAACCCCAATCGGGAGTCAAGCCCCGCTGTCGCAATGCCCATCCCGTTACCCGACACCCTTACGCTACCGCTGGCCGCCCTGACCCCAACCCAACACACCTGGCTTCCAGCCCACCCACCTTATCCACGACGACACCGCCGCCACCTTCCTCGCTGCCCAACTGCAAGTGCGCAGCCACCCGCCGGCCGCCGCCCGCCGTCGCCGCCGCCCCTTGCTCTCCCTGGCCTCCCGGCTCTGATCGGCTGCCCGCCGCCCTTGGAACCGCTGCGGGGCTTGGTGGTGGTGGCTGTACGGCTACTGCCGTAGCAACAGCAGCTGCTACCCCATCTTCCCCGTCTTCGGAGGCTCCCCAGACTGACTGGATGCGCAGCTGCAGCCGGGGCTTCTGCTGCAGCAGAGGAGGAGGAGGAGTCGGGATGCTGAGCCCTGTCGGGGCTACGTTGTCTCCCTCCTGCTTTAGTTTGGGGGTTTGGAAGGAGGAGCACGGGAGGTGAACGGGGCAACAGGTGAAACGCGGCATGTGGTCAATCGGGTGGCTAGGGTGATTCTGCTGCTGCCTTGCGGCTTAAGCCACATACGGCGTCGCCCCGCCCTTATGACGCCCCAGTAGTCCTTCGGCCGAAGCTATAGCCGTTCCAATGCCTCCGCCCCCGCACAGCCAAGCCACAGCCTCACACGCATGAAAATCCCAGGCACCGTCCCGGCACCCTGCTGCCACCACGTACCCAGGGGATCTGCTCCTCCAGGCTCGCGAACGGCAGCACTGCGGGCGCCTCCACATGCCCGCTGACCTGCCAGGGGCGTGACATGGGGGATGCCGAATAGGGGGCAGGGCTGGTACGACACTTCATGGGGCTACTGCAATGGAACGTGTCCAAGCGGTTAGTTTTCTTACAGCCAACCACCCAGAACAGACTTTGCAAGGTATGATGGATGTGCCGCATTGCGTCTCCTCCCTACACGCAACCTCCTGCCCCTTAATGCCGTGTTGCCAACATGCACCCCAGCGGGTGAGCATAAATAACTCACCCTCCTTGTAACCCACAAGCTATCACCCCAACAATTCCAAGCCCCAGGACTTGCCTGCGCCCTGCACCTTAGCCGCAACCCCGCCGCAAGAGACCGACTGTACGGCCGCACGGCGAAACCCTCCATGGGTACGACAACCGCTTCCCCTGACGCTGCCGCATCCTCAGCCTCCGCCGCCGCCGCCTCCAGCGCCTCCAGTCGGCTGCGGAGGTCAGTGAGCTCCGAAAACGCCTCTCGCAGCAAGCGCTTGAGTCGCTGCTGCTGCTGCGGTGCTGATGATGCATCGGCGCTGCTGCCGCTACCTCCAGCGGTGCCTGGTGCCGCATTGGTGCTGCTGCTTCCACCGCCGCCGGCAGACAATGGCGTTAGGGGAGTGGCGTCGACGGCTTCATTGGATCCAGGCAAGCCGGCTGAGTTGGCTGGGGCAGCAGCAGCGGTAGCGGTAGCAGGCGCTGCCAACTCTGCTACCCCAAATACAGCGACCAACACCGCTAGCAGAAGCTTAGGAGGCAAAGATTGCAGCAGCTGCTGTAGCTGCCTCCCAGGGAATCCTTCCCTGCCGCCGTCGCCGTCGCCATTGCCGGGACCGTAACTACGGCGGACGGGTGGCGGTCCACCCCCTCCGCCTCCGCTGCTGCTGCTGCTACTGAGAAGGCAGTCGGATTGCTGCTTTGCAGCCGGCAAGCCGGCAGAGGGAATGGAGGCTAGCGCGGAATGGGCGCTGATGAGGCCCCGGGGCGATCCGCGCGAGCAGCATGTGGTGAGGCGGTGTCTCCGCGGGTAGGGGGTAAGCCGGCAGGCAGCCGCCGTTGACGGCAGCTGTCGCACAACGCAGCCCGCCGATAGCCCACCGATCAGACCAGTATTCAGCATTTATGTAATTCTGCTGCCGTATGAAAGTGATTGATGATACCGATTGGTTCGACAGACGAGTAATCAGGATTGTACCTACAATGCGCGCGACGACGCCGTTACGTTGTGGCGGAACGATTTAATTGTGGTGTAATCCGTAATCATTCGCAGCCTCAGTCGCTCAAGCGAGCTGACACCTTCGCGCAGCTTCCTTTGTCGTAGAGGGGGACAACTGAAAACGGTATGCAAAGTATCCCCATTGAGCACAGGCAGCCGCTGGGCAGTTTGCGTAGCATAAATGCAGGCAGGGCAAAGGCGGATCCTGGCTAAAGTCGCAAGAAGGCTAATTGTACTGCATTGCAGCTACCAAACAGCAGCTCCTCCCATGACAACAGGTAGCATTTGACAAACGCTGCTATAGGAAGCTAATGTGAGGCATGGCTACGGCGGCTGCGGAAGACAGAAGCTTTAGCACCGACGCCAACGACATGCGCTCAATAAGCGCAGTCCCTTTCCCGACCAAAGCACGTTGACAAATCCAGGCTACTACAAGCAGCGAAGCATTATCAAGTCGCAACGGTTCCTCAATTGTATAAGACCCGTGCTTCAGCACGGACTCCATGCCAACATGAAAGGTGCAAATAAGCGACAACAGGTCACTTACAGTGAGGGAATTACAGTGAGGGAAACATATGCATTAGAGATGTTTGCAAGGTAGCACCTTGCACGCATGCATGTAAGGGGGGATGGGGGTATGGGGGAAGAGCTCCACAGACGGCTGCGACACTCCACGCTAGTTTTTATGACATCTTCAACGTGTTACTTGCACGCCAACGACAAAGAGGCGAACTGTGGCCCACCGTACAGGCGGAAGTTAGGCAAGCATTCATTTGATTTTTTCCATTTCGAAACTGCTTATAAGAAACCGAGCAATATTATCCGTAATCGGACAATGGATCTGCAAATGCAGCTAATGTATGCACACTAAGCAGGGCTTTGGATAGGGCTCTGGAACAACGATGTACGAGGGAGCATTGCTAGGTGCTAGCGCACCAAGACAAAATTACCAGGAGTACTTAAGAAATTATTATACAGAAGATGCAAGTGTAATGATTAAGACCTACGTTTAACGGACTGCAAGGATACCGGTACCGCGAATGTAACGCCAATCCAAGATACTCCCCGCGATTGATACGAAAACGAAACGTGGGAGGAAGGCCTACAGTTCCCGCAAGGCCGCTTTCGCTGATCCAGGGCTAGCATAGCAAGCAGGCGGTCGCCATACTTGTCGCAGTGCCTCACTAATGCTAGTCGACCGTGACCAAGTTTTCAAGGCCACGCAACTCAACGGGAAAAATGGATTCGGGTTTAGAGTCCTCGAATAGCCGGATCCGGATCTGGGTCACTGGCCGGCCTGAGCGAGACAGCCAGCCCTTCGGTTACTCTACACGGCTACCAACCGAAGGACGCGCGTGTAACATACCTAGGGCGGTTAATCCAGGTTTAATTTTGGCTGGCGAGGCAGCAGGGACCCAAATCTGCCTGGGGGATTTTGCCTGGGGGAGTTACCGGTACTATATCATGTACAGCAGGCCGTGCCTGCACCACAGTATACCATGCAGTGGTGGCTTGTA